CTTACCTCAGACGGACACCACTTCAAAGACAGACTCTGCTACAGCTGCTGCCTCTGGAGTGAAACATTTAGTAACTAGGGCCCTTCTGAAGACTTGAAGAGTTTCAGCTTTAAGTACCTGGAAAATCATTTTATCATTTGTCAGCACATCAGAGGCCATGCAGTAGCAGGGGATTTGTTTGCTTTTTTGTGTACTTCTTTCCAAAACTCTGCTGGCTTAAAATAAAGACACTTTATTTAAATACAATCATATTGGCAGCCACTGAATATTCCTGCAAACATACAGAGCTTTCAGCAGCAGCGCCAGTATCTTCCCTCTTCTTTTGCAAAGAGATTTCTTTAAACGTGTGAACTGAATAGCAGTAAGTTAAGATGCAGCAGTCTATTTACTTACATTTTTTCTTTCAGTTTAAAGAAAACACTAAAAAAGAGGAGTAATCACTATAAGAAAGTATAAAAAGCTGATACTTGCAAATACGTCATATAAAGAGTTCACTGTAGCTGGGCCCAAAACAAGACATTACACCAAAAACTTCAACTGCTGGGAAACAAATTTACACTATCTGGTTTTCAGTCCTCTCTTTACCAAACCACAATCATTCGACATGTTTTTTAGTCAAAGAAGGACCTGAATACTGTCACTGAAAAATGTGATTTGTGTATCAAAACCAGAGTGTAAACATCTTATGAGCACAAACAAGCAACTATGTTGCTACCTGTAAACAAGGTAGCAGTTGGTAACTGTCCTCAAACACAAGTGTAAGATCATACACTTAAAAAAAAATATTGACCTGTATTTTCTGCTGTCTCAGAAGAAATAAAAGGCTGTAAAAAACTAACAGAACATATATAAAGGTGCAAAAATAAATAAAATTCTGTTTCAGTAAAGGCTGGTCTTCTTCATGATCCGCAAGAATTCTTGTTCATTCACTTCCCCATCCCCATCTCTGTCTGCTTCATCGATCATTTCCTGAAAGATATTTGTGTTCAGAAATTAGATGCAGATTAGAATTATTACATTAATACAGAATTAGAAACACTTTTTAGTAAATTGTATTGGAGGGGACAGTGTTAGCTGGATGTCAGACTTGCTATGCTACAAAATACTAGATTATACACTAGTATGCTTTTTTAACTATATATTTATACAAAAATCCGTATAGAAAATGTTGTATTATAGGAACTGTCCTGGAAGAAACAAAGTGATTGGAGCAGAGTTGTTCCTTTTATATCACCGTAACCCTATAAAACTGCAACACTGCTGATGCGATTTTGACAGCCATGTATGCTGAACCCACCTTTGACCTCAGAATCCATTTGCCAATCACAAATTGACAGCAGCTCTTCCGTTTCTGCCAGGAAAGACCGGGCAGATTTTCCTAACAGTTCAAGTGTAAAGATCCCACAGGACGCTAGAGGACAGCGCCTAAAACTGAGACCACTGCCTTTATCTAAAAACTGACCCTGAGAGGGCTTCCTTCCCCCACAGAGACAGAGATTCCCATTCCTTATTCTCGCTGCTAGCTCTAGTCCTTAGCAGACCCACCAGAGATGGTTCAGCTCTTCGTGGAGAAGGAGAATCAAACTGTGACTATTTACACAGGTTTTAAACAAATGTAAATACAAAAGCAAACAAACATGAACATTCTGTGACTGCCTTCTTATTCCACAGGCACAGCAGAATCTGGCCCATTCTATGTTCACTACACACAAGGGGGCAGACAGTGTGTGTGATATGGTTTCATATACCAGGTACAAACCTGCAGCTCTTCATCTGTGAGATTTTCCCCCAGTTCTTTGGCAACACGTTTAAGGTTTTTGAAAGAGATTTTGCCAGTTTCATCATCATCAAAGAGTTTGAAAGCTTTGAGAATCTCCTCTTTGGAATCTTTCTCAGCCTTAAGGAAATAACCATTAAGGAAAAAAAGTAGTAGTTATGTTGTAGGTAACACTCAAAGTTATAAAAGACAAACATTAGAATGACTGAGAAACAGTCTCTTAAGAGCAAATTTAAAGCATCCCAGCCAACAGGAAGTATACATAGAAATGCTGAAGGTAGAGAGAGACACAGTGATGCTTCCTGAACCTCAGGGTTTCAGGGAATTCTTTTTTTCTTTCATAGCTAGCCATATGTCTTTAGGATTTCGGTATCAGGATCTTCCACTATTAAATACCTGCTTTTACTCAACATGTTTTAAGATTTTTAAAACCAAAGATTTAATTTGTAAATATCTTAATATTCAAGAAAATACAGTGCAGTGCTACACAGTCATCCATGTCACGTGTCAATACTCCTGACAGCTTTCTGCAGGCCAGAGCTGGTTTTAATCTGTGATAAAGAGGCTTGATTTCACTTTTCCCCTTTTCTCACATACACACAAAACTGATTGTTAAACAAACTTGTTAGTGACATAATTATTTCAACCTTACCTTAAAAAATGAGGTAGGGTAGTCCCTGTCTTGCAATTCTAACTTTTACATACTTTGCTGTTAAGATTAAAATATTGCTTTCATCTTCCATTAAAATCAGAAGGAGATCAAAGATACTCAGCCATTTTCAAAATTGCTTTCACTTTGACTTTTAAAATTTACATACCATTTTTTGTGTCATCACTATCAAGAAGTCATGGAAGCTGATTTTTCCTGTTCCTTCCTTATCAATATCTGCTATCATTTTCTTTATCTCTTCTTTTTTAGGTTCAAACCCTAGTGCTCTCATGGCCACCTATAAGGACAAAAAACCCCTTATAAATCATACAAAACTATAAACAAAACCATGGGCACAGGAAGAAAGTTGAACTTGATGCCACACCATGTTAAAACATGCATTCTATGTTTCAAGAAAAACTGCAAGGACAGACTTAGAGCAATGCTTCTCTACACACAAGAGCACATCAAGATGCAGAAAATGGGAATGCAACCACTCATATTCTGGAGTTGTCCTTCAGTTAATTCAGAAATTTCCTAATACATGCTTACCATCATATCCACCACCCCTAGCTCAGAACTGGCAAGAATTTGGAGGGTAAGGCTATATAACAGAGTCTTGGTTGGGAGAAATATTTTCTCTAAGAAAACTTGGATTTTTTTATAAAGTCATAGCATACCTGTTTTGGTATATACTTTTAAAAATTCTTGTGATGGACACTCAGAGCATGAAAGTCACGCTTCAATTAATATTTTGCAAGAAAAAATTCCCAAACTGTCACAGAGTGCTATGGATAGGAATTTCCAAAACTACTGGAAAATTGAATGTTATTCCCCTCCTGTCAAGGGAATTGCTACTAGTATTCCATTTGCAATGAAAAACAAGACACAAACAAACAAAAAAAAGCGCTTATTTCAGGCCCTGTTGTAAGCAAGATGGCTAAATGGGAGACCCAGAAATGTCTCAACAAAATAACTTCAAGATAACTGACTCCATGAAAGAAGTCTCCATCATGCTTGCAAGTCTATCAAACTCTGACAACCTGATCTGATGGCACAAACATGGAAGGTCTTAAGCTGGTAGACCACAGGGAACTTAGTTAATTTTTCATTCTTGTGACAAAAATGTTTTTCAATGAATGCTGGGAAAACACAATTCAAATGCTTTGTGAGCATAACAACACTACTATAAGCAGCATATCCAAGGATGCCTTCACTTGCAGATACCTGTAAGCACACCTACACACTTCAGTTTTTCCTCCTTTCATCTTTATACAAGATATCCCTTTGGACAAGCAGAAAGTTTGGAATCACGTTTTCTCCCTATGGTCTTAAATAATATGGACATCCAGCTAGCAAATAGGAAAGACAAATTCTGAGATCAAAGTAAGTCCTAATTTATTGATTACTATCCCCAAAGGACAGCAGTGGGGAGGGACTGAAAATGTTTTGCAATAAATAAAAGCATTAAAATTAATAACTGGTGTATTCCATAGCTTGGATAACCTAATTTGCAAAGCATGCAAACCTCAACAACACATGAGGGGAAGAAAACCCACCTTTTTCATATGCCCAAACTCTTCTTGATGTTTTACTAACAGAGAAGACGACAGTACAAAAAATACAGAACTATCAATGTGTTTTGGTCAGCTCAGCCCTAAAGACATGATAACAACAGTAAAGAGCTATAATTAAAGAGAAAAACGTACCTGTTGACAACAAGGTTTTATAC